GAAGCGGAAAGGGAAAGGGAAGCGCCGCCTGTTGGACTTGGACTGAACAGGAGAGCCGTTTCGGCAGCCGCTGTCAGTTCTGCGCCACCCGAGGACACCCATGACGATGGCCACCAGGAGTCAGTGGCATTGTCTGCGCTCCCGGGGAGGCACTGGTCACCATTTGATTATGTGGATTTTTGCTGTCATAGCTTGCCCAGCCCCTTTAATTAAAACTCGGCACATATCTTGAGTTGCCGATCAGCGCTGGCAGGCGTCGCTTGTCCAATGGCGCTGACCATTGGGTGCCCTCCCCGCGTGCGGGATGCCTCAGAGATGCGGTGGACTCTGCGCGGGTCTCAATTTCAGACGCGGCAGAAATTGAGGGCACCTTCATGTCCATGTTTCATACCTTGCTTCCGAGAGCTGCCACCAAGATGACGTGCTGCTCCGAAGCCTAGTGGCGGGACGACAGCGCGTTGCTTCCCGCGTAGTCTCTCACTTCGTTTTCACCCGCGCACAGAGACACCTGCCATCGCCAAGAAGAAGACCCGACAAGTGCAAGAACCCCCCTCTTCCGTTGTAGATGATGGAAGTTCCCCAAGGAGGCGAAGTCTCGTGGGATACTTAGATCGAGGGCATCATCTTTACCAGCCATTTCAAGCGCCGCAGAATTTCAAAACGAGGTTTGGAAGCTATGGCTGGGGCGGGAAAGCGAATCAGAAGGCAATGCCGCCGCGGGGGATCGAGGGAATGACCGCGTTAGCCTCGGCTCGATGCGTTTCATTGTTGGCGCGGGCTGGTTCCAACCTCATCGCTGAAAGATTCGCTATAGGTGCCGACGCTATGGGCGATATTCGGATGTTATTTCTGGGCGTTCCCCTGAACGCCGCTGGGGGTTCCAACAGGGTTCTTGGTTCAGCTGGCGTGGCATGCCGCAGATGTCAAGACTGCCACGTCAACGATTATGCCTGAAACCCCGAGTGCGCTCACCGTTGAAGAGCGGCGCGTGGATCACGGTTTCAGCTTTTTTTGGCTTGCGCGCCATGCCCCATGCATTACTCTTGCCCGACAGACGAAGAGTCAACCTGACCGCTGACGGAAAGATACCGCATTTGACGTCGTCAGGAAGAGAGGCGCTAGGCCAATGGAGCTGCGCGGCCGCCCAGGGAGCAGTTGCTCTCGAGAGGTGGACTTGGATGGTGCCAGGTGCCGAGGCCTTGTTGGGCGATGCAGAGGCCGCGGGTGGCCCCCCAGCATGCTCGGTCCAGACCCGCGCGCCCGTAGACTGCGCGCGCGAGTTGGTGGCCCCCCGCAGCTGCGAGAGCGGGCGGCCGGCGCAACGAGACGGGCCGCTGCCGCTTGGAGTAGGCTCTGCGGGCGTCATCACGCGTTCCCCATTCAGTGCTTGCGCTGAAGGGTCCCTAGCGTAAGTTGAAAGATATGGCGAAAGATCCCCGCCGATTTCGGCGGCGGGCTGGGCCCCCGGGCTCCCGGTTCCGAGTTCCCGGGTTCCCGGGCGATCTTACTAGCGAAAACCATTCATTGACGTTTTTTTGTTCTATGGTGTAATTTCTATCTCTCGCTCTAAATGGCCCGCAAATACGGTCGGGCCCCAACCGCGACGGCCGCTGTTGCGCCCGCGCCGCGGTCGCCGACTCAGTCGGGGGCCATCGGGTCGGGGAGCGCGAGCAGCTCGCGGAGAGCAGTCTCGGGGAATCTACCTCGCGATTTCGACGGTGGGCGCGAAGATTCCACTCCCGCCCCCGACGCCCCGAAGCGGGCGAAAACGTCGGCCGCGCCGGCGATGATCTAGTCGACGTCGCCGAGCCGCCGGCCGAACCTGAGGAAGCAGGCGTTGATGTGACGAAGGATGGGCGTCTCAGACAGGGCGCAGTCTGCTTCGAGCATCTTCTCATTCATCTCCCCGAAGGCCCGCAGTGCAACGCGTGCAACGTGGCTGGGGCTCTGCGACGGCAGCACCGTGAGAGTCAAAGCGAAGGGCCGCAGGTTCCCAGACCGCGCGCTGACCCTCCTTGCCTCGGACGCACCTTACCACCAGGAATCACTGGTCCGTGACTGAGGAGCTCCCGCAGGGGCCCCGCGGGGAAACTGAGTGCGCGACTTTTCGCGATCGGTTCTCGAACTTCATATCCGCGCAGGGTGTTCGTGACAAGTCGCGCGCGCATGTGTCTGCGATTTTTAGTGAACGGAAAGGCCCATGGAGAGGAGTTGAAACATTGTTTCCCGGATGGCGCCTGAGAGCTCGCGCGTGTTCACCGAGAACTTGAGATCGCGCATGATGCCGCCATCCCAGGCAACAGAAAACTTATAGTTTTGTTGAAGGGTCAAGCGGCATCGTCCAGACGTGCGCCCGCGCGTCGCTAGCTGCCGCTGGCCCCCTACTTCCTTTCTGGCCGCGTGCCGCGCGAGATAATTGCTTCTGCCGCGACGCAAGGCAGGATTAGGAAGGGAAGTCAAACTGGCAAGCTCGGTTCGGCTCGCCATGTCCAGCACCCCCCCTCCCCCTCGGCCCCCCCAGTGGCCGCGCGCCCCCCCCCGAATCGCGCTGCCGCGTGGCCGGGGCAGGTGCCGCCATGATTCTGGACCTTTACTTGGCATGTTCACAAAGCGGGTGGAATGGCACGGCCAGAGAGTCACGCGGCACCCTTTGGGTCACCCGAGTGTCCGAGCGCGGTGGCTGGGCGCAGGCCCGACGGGGCAAGGCCTGTCATGGGTGACATTGCGGACGCCCGGGCACCCTAATCTCCGTGGCTGATGCGCGTGAGAGGCCATATCGGAGGTTACCTCGGTGACGGCGCCGCCTAGGGATGCAGCGGGCAGCTCTTCGAGCAGAATTCCCCCGGCCGCGGACAGCTTAGCTGCGCGCGCTCCTGACGAAGATGACTCGTTTGATCTTCTGGCTCCGCCGCCACGCCCCCGTCTGCGTCTGACCGGCGCGGCGAGGCCCCGGCTGACCCGGACCCGGAGGTTATCTGATGATGAGGGCCCGGGGGGCCCGAAGTCACCCGACTGGCCCGCGGGGGCACACGAGTGCGATCATCAACGAGATGCTCGGGCAAGGGCCTCGGAGATCGATCGGCCACTCCTGGCCCGAGCGGTTCGAGGAATCCGCCCGGGAGCCCCTCGCGTGTGCTGCGCCTTCTTCAGGAACAAGTGCAAGGGTCTTCAGAGTGACCCCTGGGCCGCCGACGGCGCGGGACACTGGCGCCGGAGGAAGTCCCGCAGAGAGACAGGTGGGAAGATACGTTGTTCAAGGCAGGCAGATGCATTGCATTTGACTTCCCTCCGAAACAAGCTGAGCCTGCGGCGGCCAACGCGTCCAAGTCCAATGCTGCAGCTGGATCTCACGCAGGCAGTGAGAAAAGGAGTCAGGAAAGCATTCGCAGCATGGGGGGCGGCAGGGGAGAGGGAAGCGCCGCCTGTTGGACTTGGACTGAACGGAAGGAGAGCTGTTTCGGTAGCCGCCGTCAATTCCGCGCCGCACGAGGACGCCCATGACGATGGCAATCAGGGGTCAGCGGCTTGGTCACTGCGCTCCAGGGGGGGACTGGTCGCCATTTTAATTTGCGGAGTTCGGCTGTCATATTTATCCGATGATTTTTGGGGTCCTGTCGATCGGTCACCATTCTGGTCGAAGGCTCACGTCGCGAAGGCGTCCTGAGATCGAGATGGCGCGCAGCCAGGGTGCTTGTCCAGCCGCTTTAAGATTCGGTACATATGTTGAGTTGCCGATCACCGCTGGCAGGTGTCGCTTGTCCAATGGCGTTGACCATTGAGTGCCCACCCCACGTGCGGGGCGCCTGAGAGATGCAGTGGGCCCTGCGCGGGTCACAATTTCAGACACGGTAGAAATGGAGCGCCCATTCATATCCATGTTTCATACCTTGCCTCCGAGAGCTGCCATCAAGATGACGTGCTGCTCCGATGCCCAGTGGTGTGAAGACGGCACGTTCCGTCCCACGCAGTCTCTCAGATCGTTTTCACCCACGTACAAAGACACTAGCCATCACCAAGAGAGGACCCGACCAGGGCAAGAACTCCTCTCTTCCGTTGCAGATAGATGGAAATTCCCCAAGGAGGCGAAGTCTCGTAGGATACTTAGATCGAGGGCATCATCTGTATCAGCCATTTAAAGCGTCTCAGAACTGGAAAACGAGGTTTGGAAGCTATGGCTGGGGCGGGAAAGCGAATCTGAAGGCAGTACCGCCGCAAGAAATCGAGGAAATGACCACGTTAGCCTCGGCTCGATGCGTTTGAATGTGGACGCCGGCTGCGGTCTCAACCTCATCTGTGCATCAACGATGTATAACGAACCCATCCTCCAAATTCTCTTATCATAGGCTCCTGCAAGGAAAGATCGACATTGCGGGAAGTGACCATTTGGAAGACAACCGATTCAGAATCCTTCATCGCGCCAACACAGTTTTCTTGAGACCCCAGCGCCGCAAACTAATGTGATTACTACGCCCTTGCAGTCCTAAATCGCGCCGAAATACCACTCCTGGAATTTCACCATTGCAAGTCAACGTGGCTAGTGCGTCTTGGCAGTCTTAAATCGTGTCAGAAGGTATTTCCTGATACGTTAACGATACGAATCCTCGAACCTGTTGCAAATTTTAATACTCATGCGCACGGCGCTAAGGCGAGAGCCGCGTTTTGAAAAGGTGGAGTAGGAGGACCTCCCCGTCCTCCTTCCTCCCTTCTCCCTCCCTTTCCTTATCCTTGTTCCCTCCGTTCCCCCCCTCTCCCCCCTCCTCGTCCTCATCTTGCCCTTGTCCCCTCCATTGCCGTCCTTTTCCTCCTCCTCTTCCTCGTCCTCCTCATCATCACCATCATCATCTCTATTTTTCTCCCATTGCCCCTCTTTCTCCTTCCTCGTTCCTCTTTTTGGCCCCTCCTTCCTTCTCCCTCCCCTGAGTGGGAGAGGCAGCCGTTTCTTGTTTTGGCAACGCCCCTCCCCCCTCCTCCTGGAGAAGGAGCGGCAGGAGGGAGGGGAGGCGCGGGCACCAAGTCCGGCTCGGACACGCAGGACACCGACGGCATCGTGGACGGCCACGCTTACACGATCATCGACTGCGTCAACAACGCGGGGGGCACGGAGTTCGATCTGATCAAGGTGCCCCTTTCTCTTTGAGGGTGACCGCGCTTCGGTCGGTCCAGCTGTATCGCAGTCGGTTGCGTTCGGTTTCGCTGTCGGCTCGGTCGGTTTTTTCGGTGTGGATACCGCCGTGGACGCTCTTTGTGTTCTTCCTCTCGAGGGCGCGTCGCCTCGGCGGAGCGCGGCTGGGGAGACTGGTCAGGATCTTGCCCCAGAGGGGCTGGAAACCGAGGTGCAGCGGATTCCTCCTACAGAGGAGGCCCATGCCAAGAAACATCCTGCTTACCTCCAGGGTGCCCTGGGTTTCTTGGGTTTCGATGGTTTGCGGTGGAGAGCGCGACGTTCCCATGCTAAAGATCGATGGGCGTCCTGTGGTCTCATGGTTGGGTTTCTTGTGAAAGGTTTCTTGTGGACTAGCCTCCACTGTACTGCGATCAGATCTCGGAGTCGTCGAAGAGCCACAGAGCTTTCACGATCGATCTGAAACGTCAGGCAGAAGTTTATGATTGACGATTCCAGTTGCTGTTCTCTTCCAGCACGAGCTGCTACTTTTCATGGCGCCAGATGTCATGTCACATCTCCTGGTCCCCGTGCCTCTCCACGGAGAAAACTCTCCTCCCCTCCTTCCACCGCCCCTTTCTCTTCACCCGCTTCCTCCTGATCCAGGTGCGCAATCCGTGGGGCTCGGGCGAGTTCAAGTCAGGCATGTGGGACGACGATGGCCCTGGCTGGACGCAGTACCCGCAAGTCAAGGAGGCCCTGAATCCTGTGGCGGCCGACGACGGTGTGTTCTGGGTTGACAAGGAGGAGTTCTTCAAATACTTCAAGACCATCTACGTGTGCGCGAAGAACATGACCGAATTCATCGAAGCTCCTCAGTAAGTTGGCCGTTTTCGCGGGGTACATTCGGTGGATTCAAATTTTCTTGGAGGTAGTATACAATGCTGGCCTGGCCGTTTCGCACGGGTGCTAGAGAATAGGCGAGGAGAGTTGCGAAGCGGTGTTTTCCGGCGCTTCGTTTCTTTCTTTATTCGCCAGTCTCGTACGCTGGCAGCGGCCAGGCCGCCCTTGCAGCGAGAAATACCCGCTGCATTTGTGGGCGGCTTGTCCCAAGAAAGGTTCAATTGGTTTTATTTCCTTCGGCACGACTTAGGGTTCCGGACAAGCGCAGCGGCGTCATAGCCGTCACGTGTTGCTGTCCTTGCTATTTGTCTACTGTTTGTGGATGCCATGCCACGATCCCGGAAGCAATTCCTTGCACGCCGCTGCGCTCGGCTGCAAGGCTGGAGATGTTCAAGCACAGCCAGCAGCGCACGCGTCACTGTCGCGCCCGCGCCATGGTCCGCATAATCGTGTGGACGAGTGGGGCCTGGCGCCCGCCGCGCGCGCATAGGAGAGGCGACGTGCGCCCGGCGTGGCCCGCGCCCTCTGCGCGCTGGCGAGGATGGGGATGCTCGCCCCCCCTCCCCCCGTCCTTCGAAGAAGAAGAAACGGCATGCACATACACTTCTGGCGCTCCGCGCGGGTTTCTTCGATCGGCGCTGGGCCCCCCCCCCAGCGGCGCCTCCGGCGCCGCCCCAGGCGCGAGTCCAGCGCGGACCCAAGAAGTCCGCGCGGAGCGCCCAGAGTTTCTGTTCATGGCGTTTTGTCTTCTTCTAGTCCTCCTCCCCCCCCCCCGCGCTCTCCGCGCTCTCCCCCCCTCGTTCCCCCCCGTCCTCTCCCCTCCCGGCCCGGCGGAGCAGCACAGCGGCGGTGGAGGGCAGGAAGAGGCAGGGTCTTCAGAGGCCCTGGGGAGCCCCAAGTTGGGCAACACCTCTGCAACACAACACCTCGACCATCGAGCTCCGTCTCCTGGAGCCTCGAGGGAACTCCTCCCCCTCCCCCTCCCCTCGCAGCCCAGGGAGCTGACCCCGGCGCAGTCACAGAGGGGCGTCTGGGGATCGCTCCTCCTCCTCCTCCTCCTCCTCCTCCTCCTCCTCCTCCTCCTCCTCACTCCGTCCTCCGTGGCGGCCGGGAACTGGCCTGACCGCACTTGGGGTGCCGAACTGGTTGACACGCGGAGGGCAGAGGCTAGAGTGCAGGGAGGGAGGAGCGGAGAGGAGCGGGAGCGGGAGGAGGAGGAGAGGAGAGGAGAGGCGAGGCGAGGCGAGGGGAGGAGAGGGGAGGAGAGGAGAGGCGAGGAGAGGAGAGGAGAGGAGAGGAGGACGCGGGGCTCCGTCTCTTCACAACGGGGACCCAACACCACAGGATGGTTGGGACAACAAGCGACAGAGTGAGAGAGAGGGAGAGATAAAGAGAGATGGAGGGAGAGAGAGAGAGGGAGAGAACCAGAGAGACTGAAAGGGAGAACGAGAGAGAGAGAGAGAACAACAAACAAAATATTGAGCGAGATAGAGGGAGAAAGATACTGCAGGGAGCAGCGAGTATTGTGGAGCCACTAGGTTTGCGAAAGAAGGGGACATCAAACCCTGTGATTTCATTGGGATGCTTGGAATTGCTGGGGAGCTAATCCCAGAAGCCATGTAGTTTCATCGTGATGCTTGGAACTGGAATTGTCCACCCCCCGAGAGACATCTATCCTGGAGCCGCCCAGGAATTCCAGGAATACCATCGTAATTATTGATAACGTCGGCGCATCAGATCTCTGAGGTCGGATTGAAGGGGGGATTGGAGAAGGGGAGCTTACGATATCTCTTGCGAGCAGTTGGTTTCGGCCCTGCCCCTGGGCGCTTCCCTCGAGGCATGGGCGCTTGCGGCGCCGGGAAGCGCCGGGAGTACCAACTACGTGAGTTGATTCGCTAATCCTAATTTTATTGGGGAGTAGGAGGGGGAGGATGTCGACAACGACGACGACGACGACGATCGCGACGACGATGACGACAACGACGACGGTGTCGTCAACGACGACGACGACACTCGAATAACAAATAAGTACCCTGGCGAAGGACCCAACCATCTGCCGTTGTGATTACGGCCGTTGTGATCGGGGCCACGAAACGCGTGAAGGGAGCGCCGAAATGAGGCGGGGCCGCCATTATTGCGCTGCCGCTCGGGCCGCCCGCAGGGGGCACTGAGGTCAGACGGAACGGGTTGCGTGCTGATGTAACCCGTTACGGCTGACAGGCACTTGGAGAAGCGGAAGAATACATGCGGGCGCGGCATGCGAACGCAGTCGTTGGGGTCTTCAGTGGTGCTCCTTATTGGGCCACGACACGTGCGAGAGGTGTGCCGAAATGGGTGGCGCGGACGCATGTGGGCACCGCCATTGGGGCCGTCGGTGGAGCTCCCTATGGGGCCACGAAGCGTGTGAGGGGTGTGCCGAAATGGGAGGCGCGGACACATGTGGGCACCGCCACTGGGGCCTACGGTGGAGGTCCCTCCTATGGGGCCACAAAGCTTGTGAGGGGGGTGCCGAAATTCGTGGCGCGGACGCGTGTGGGCACCGCCACTAGGGCCTTCGGTGGAGCTCCCTATGGGGCCACGCAGCGTGTGAGGGGTGTGCCGAAATGGGTGGCGCGGACGCATGTGGGCACCGCCGCTGGGGCCGTCGGTGGAGCTCCCTATGTGCCGAAATGGGTGGCGCGGGCGCATGTGGGCACCGCCGCTGGGGCCTACGGTGGAGCTCACTCCCTATGGGGCCACGAAGCGTATGAAGGGTGTGCCGTATCGGGTGGCGCGGGCGCATGTGGGCACCGCAATTGGGCTTTTCGGTAGAGCTCCTTTGTGAGGCCGCGAAACGTGCGATAGGGTGTGCCGAAATTTGTGGCGCGGACGTCTGTGGGCACCGCGAGTATGTGTCGCGGACGCATGTGGGCACCGCCATTGGGGCTTTCGGTGGAGCTCCCGATGGGGCCACAAAGCTTGTGAGGGGTGTGGCGAAATTCGTGGCGCGGACGCATGTGGGCACCGCCACGGGGGCCTTCGGTGGAGCTCCCTATGGGACGACGAAGCGTGTGAGGGGTGTGCGGGCACCGCCGCTGGGGCCGTCGGTGGAGCTCCCTACGGAGCCACGAAGCGTGTGAGGGGTGTGCCGAAATGGGTGGCGCGGACCCATGTGTGCACCCCCATTGGGGCCTTCGGTGGAGCTCCCTACGGGGCCACGAAGCGGATGAGGGGTGTGCCGAATTGAGTAGCGCGGACGCATGTGGGCACCGCCGCTGGGGCGTCTGGTGGAGCTCCCTATGGGACAGCGAAACGTGTGAGGGGCCCGTGGGGACTTCGGTGGAACTCCCTAAGGGCTAAGGGGCCACGCAGCGCGTGAGGGGTGTGTCGACATGGGTGGCGCTGACGCGTGGCCTTCAGTGGAGCTCCCTATGGGGCCACGAAACGTGTGAGGGGTGTGCCGAAATGGGTGGCGCGGGCGCATGTGGTTACCGCCACGGGGGGGGGGGGGGGGAGGAGGAGGAGGAGGAGGAGGAGGAGGAGGAGGAGGAGGAGGAGGAGGAGGAGGAGGAGGAGTGAACACGGCGCGCTGTCTCTTTTCAAAACGAGGACCCAACACCACAGGACGGGAAGGAATTATTCTGGCGAGAGGCCCAACCATATGCAATTGCGAGTGCCGCAAGGCAGGTGAGACGAAGGAGGGGGAGCTCCCGATGGGGCCACGAGACGCGTGGGGGTATGCCGACATGAGCGGGGGATCGTATGTGGACATTGCCGCCAAAGTCTTCGGTGAAGTTCTCTAGGGGCAGACCACGAAGCGCTATACTGGGTAGCGCGGACGCATGTGATCACAGCCGCTGGGGCCGTCGGTGGAGCCCCCTCTGGGACCACGAAGCGCTGTATCAGGTGGCGCGGGCGCATGTGATCACAGCCACTGGGGCCTTCGGTGGGGCTCCTTGTAGGGCCACGAAACGCTGTACTGGGTGGCGCGGGCGCATGTGATCACGACCATTGCTT